TTCAATTTTAAAGCCATTATTGCTTAAATAAAGAGATACATAAATTGCAGACTTTTCTAATCCTTTGCTTATGGTGAGTACCCAACCGCTCAGTGAAAATGCACTTCAAGAAACATTGAAGGTTTTTATTAACTCCACAGGTAAGTTCCAAGACCCTGGGATATTCTTTTTCCGACTCCTGATTAAAACAGTGGGAGTCCACATGAATTCTCCCTTTTTTTTTTTTATCCCTCTCCCCCTCCCAAGAGATTCACATGCAACGTCCCCTCCTCAAAATCTGTAAGAAAACAAGAATCAAACCGAAAACATTTCGCCAGCTGAAAGGCGCCGAGACCTTGCACGGGGCGGGATGCGTTTCCAGCTGCCAGCCTAAAGGGACGGCCGAGGGAGATTAAACACAGAAATGCTTTTCATAGGGCAGGCGGCTTTGAAGAGGACAGTTCAGCTACTTCATTTCGTAATCTTCACAAAGCGTCAGATTTTAGCCTAAGCAGGTCTTAAAACAAGGAGATTTTATTTGAAAAAAAGAAAAGTCGGAATGTGTTCTGGCCAGGTTCTGTTGATTCAGCAAGGGTTAGACACACACACGCTTATTGATCCCAGAGAGCTCCCTGCTAAGTTAATTGTCTGGAATTTTAACTGAGCTCTCAGCAAGTTTCAAAACGCATGTCGGCTGGAAGTGGGTGGGGGACCCAAAAAAAAACCAAACTAAACCAAAACAACAAAAAAACAGGCTGCAAAACTCTGCAGCTCCTCCAGTGAAGAGCCAGCAACTACTATGATGAAGGGAAAAGCTGCAGCAGGGAACGGCTTTAACTGGACTCGGTGATTCTGACTTTGACGCTGCTGGAATTCAGTGCTGGGAATCTTGTGGGCAAAGCTGTACTGTTACCAGGGAGCACCGTGAACCTCCATTCACTCACAGGAACGTTACCGAGGTGAGGGCATCTCCTGCAGCTTCTGACTGTGGCTTGTCACAACAATTTCCCAGTGCATTCACACAGAGAAGTGTGTTACCACCAGATGAACGTGCCTGCGTCCTCATCACTGAACATCAACCTCCTG